TATCGAATCAGGGTTTTCTATGGCCTGGTGGCAAGGGTGCTCGACTCGCCATCTGCGAGTCGCGGTATCACAGAAGGTGCCGAACATGCTCGCCCTTTCAGTAGTGGGGGCGTTATAATATTACGATTAATCCTACTATTCGTTAATAGCGAGAATCCCAAGAGTTGGCGTTCGTGTGGCCGACTGGTTACTTCCTCAGGGTCCAGGTCTCGGCTCTATAGAGGAGCATCAGTCTATCACAGTATTATACATTTTGTTTTTCGGTGGCCTTGGTAAACTATTGTCACTTATGACTATGGTTACTTCCCTCCATTTCTTCCAACCTGCCCGGATCCTATCTCTCATAGCTTTCTCACTTCCTCCTTCATTTTGGATTGTACTGCATTTGTAGATTCTTCACACTTTCAGCTGTCAGGACAAGGTTGTCGATAAATAATAGCTCCCACAGTGGTCCCTTGTAGCATTGCTCACTCAAGATGTTGATGACAATGAAGAACAGCAGGGGTTAATGGCTGAACCTTGATACAGCCCAATGTTTACTTCACACTTGTATATTTCTCCATATACCATATTCACGATTGTTGTCGCTCCTTCATAAGTGACTCACTCTAGCCCGAGGAGCTTTTTGGGCACTCCTCTCGTTTGGAGGCACCAATATACTAATTGTCATAAGTGGCTCACACTAGCTTGAGTAGCTTTTTTGGCACTCCTCTCGTTTGGAGGCACCAATATACTAATTTTCGTGGCATAACGTTTTATTTCCTTCAAGGTACTTTTCCTGCAGTTGTCGCAGAATGAAAATTACATCTATCAATTGTATTTCGTCGATGTCTACAACTTCCCTTATTCTTTTTACCAGTGCCTTTTTTTTTCATTATCATCAAATACTACACCAATGTTATTCCTCTATAGTTTCATATTCAAGAGCATCTCCTGAAAAATAAAGGTCCACCATTCGAAAGCGCTCAGGTTATATGGTTTTTATTAATTCCTTTCTGCTTGTACACTGGTATCAATAAACTTTCTCTCCGTTCAGCAGGTATATGCTCTTCCCTCTAGATGTTTTTCAACAGGGTCCATGCATACTCAACTCTATCATCTTCTAGTACCTTAATAATCTCAATGACAATCTATGATGGACATCCCACATTGTCTCTCTTCATTTTTCTAACTGCTTCTTTGATCCCACTCTATTGACATCCAGTTCGGGGTTTGCTATTGGTGGTGTCTCTTCCAATTCTCCTGTCTCATTTTTAGTGAGAACTACTTTCTCATAGTACTGTTTCAATCTCTGTTTTGTTGCACTTTCATTTATCAGGAGCTTCTCTTCTTTTCCTTAATTACTTTGATCACTGCAATGTCTCTTTTTGCCATTTCTATTTGTTTGGCTATTCCGTATACCTTCTTATCCCCTTCTGGTGTCTCCATGTTGTTTTACCAATTTTTAGTTTCCTCATTCTTCACCAGTACCACGCTCTCTTCACCTGTCTTTTTTTTTGCTCTTTTGTATGCCATTCTTTGAAAGCTTCTTTATTTTATTTGATGGTTTGCTGTGCTTCTTCGCTGCACCATCATGGTTTCTTCTGTTCAGATTTATTTTATATAATAACTACTTCCAATGCTTAATACACATGTGTGGGATATTTCAGGTTTGTTTGACAAGCACTTAGGAATGAAGTATATGTTACATAATTTTTGCACCTTTCTCTGTGTAGAGTTGAAGAATGTTTGTGGTCTCTCAGCTTTCAGCAATACCCATAAGCATTGAAAATATTAAAGCTACTGCCTATTTTTACTGCTTTCGTGATTTTACGGAAACCTATCGTTTTCATTAAACTATAGTAACATAGGTAATATTTTGTGAAATTATATGAATAAAGATCAAATTAGCCTTTTGTAAACTAATAATGATTGAAACATACTTCAGTGAGCTCAGATATATTGTGTTGATTAAATTTAAAAGGTTACAGCTGCTCTATTTATTTTATAATTATTTAAAGTAATTGAGAAGATGTATTTAAGTATATTACGAGTTTACAATATATTTATCAACATTAATTAAAAAATACCTTTTGAAGATTCAACTTATACAATGTTTCATATGTCAAAATCTTATTAATAATTATCCATATATAACCTGCTACTCAATTATTATTTCGAGATAATATCGTTGTATCTGACAATCCACCCTTTTATTGTAATCAGTGTAAAAGCTTTTCACCATTTAATATAAGTTTTTAAGATAAAAGTTTTTTCGTTAATCACCATCTAATAATTTCATCCATAACAACTTGTAGCCAGAAAAATGTTTTTGTTACGATGTAGATTGATTATAAATATTTAAAGCAACATAATCAATGCAAGTTAGATGTATCATAATTGTTGTTATTGTTTTTATCCTTGGACCTAGCTATTGCATTTTCACAAATTAGATTTTATTACTTCAACATAACAGAATATATATATTTTTAAAAGGCCACTTTAAAGATTTTCTACAACACCTACAAACAAGCTGTACACAATAAACCACGTGATTGGTAAAATAAACTCATCTTGTCTATGGGTGTGGTGAACATCAACTTTCATCGTTGTTCGAGTTTACAACCAAGAGTTTGTCCAATGATTAAAATAGTCCTCAACAGTTCGCATGCAATATACATGATGAACATTTTCTGGCCGAAGTATTTAAATTGAAGGAACAACTCCCTCAGAATTTGAAATGTTTGAAATTCAACTGACATCTCTTTTAGCTTGCACAAATATTTATGTACTTTAGAACACGAACCTGGATCTTACATGTTAGAAATTTTTAGAGAGACATTATCTTACAAGTGCAATAATATTTGCATAATTCCCTTGATTCTTTCCTGAAATAATATTTACTTGCTCAGTAAAATAATTTAATTTTATTTTAGTACCAGATAATGCTGCATTTTATAGAATTCACTTTGTTTTGATAAGCATATTTTTATTTAAAATCATATATGTCCAGTAAAAAAAAACTGCTATACTGCATATAATAAATAAAGTACGTTTTTATTTTAATAAAATTTCACCAGTTTTATTTTTCTTCTTTTGAGTATGATATTGATGTATATGTTACGATTACATATTTGCCACAAAATCTCAAATTATATTTTAACTTTTGTTGCATATGATTATTTCTTAATATTGTTAAATTTGTCGATAACCGAGCAAAATTAATAAACTGTAATATACATCTTCAAAAATGCTTACAGAGTTATTGGTTTTCATATGCAATAAAAAGGTTCTGGATACGTAATAATCGCATAAAAAATAACATCCGAAATTTATTTTTATTTTTTAATGAAGTATCAAAGCTGAAGAAAATACGATAGATACTTCTTGACAATTTGTTTGAAAAGGACAAATACAGTTACGGTCAAGGCTGAACGTTAGAGTTACACAAAATCTTTATGGATTTTTAAATTGATTTTTCTATAAAAAACGACCTGTCATGTTAATATGTATTTTACCTTATTCGTGTATGTGTGTGTATATATGTATGTATAGTTATAGTATAGAACATAATACGTGCGAAACATACATAACCTTTGACTAGTAATTAAATTCCTTTGTTACTATTATGTCGTGACATATTCATAATTATAAATTTCTTTTCGTGATAAAAATTAAATTATTTTTTTGTTGATTAACTATCAGTTCTCAGGTTTTCTCATTATAACATAACATTGCTTAGACTATTTGTCTTTTGTTTTATTTTTCTAAACTAATATCGATCTATCACACATTAGAATAAGTTCTTAGTTTTGATAGAATGCAATCAATTTTTTGTTATCTTTGAATATTGCAATTGTAGAAGTGTTAACGGATATTAAGGCAGAAAAAGGCTAAGCAGTAACAACCCATTCAACTCAACTACTCAAATAAAAACATTGACAGTAGTATTATGTGATACGAATATCAAATATACTACTATCGAATATATATATATATATATATATTAAATATAATATCTCAAGTTAAGTATATACATCTTGAAATATAAATAAGTGAAACTGACAGCAAAAGTTGATATATATACATATATAAATTTCCAGACTACGTCTGGCATATTTGATTTGAAACAAAAATAAAATACTGCTGAACAGCTATTTCGTTCTTACAATTAGGCAGAAAAACAAATACTCCACTTTTTTATCAACATATAAATCAATCATGTTGGAATACTATTTGTTTGTTTTTGTTAGTGCAACGCACACCTCAAGAAGTGGCAATTTCTCTTTTTAAAAGAACAGTTGGAAAGTATCAAATAACTGATACTTTATGATACTATTAACAATGAGCTTCATGTTACCAATAATCATTTTGAATTATCAAGTTACGGTATGTGTTCGATCTTGATCTTTCTAACATAAATAATCAGGCAAAGCTGGCAGTTGTCATTTCGTTGTGTTTTTTTAAAGAAATGATACAATGTCATATATGTTTAGACTTGGGCATTTTAAAGTCAAGTCCTATAGAATAAATATTCTTTTATTCCATAAAAAAATAAAATAAAGTCGGATTTTAACAATTTGTTTTCTCCAAATATAACTTGAAAATATAGTATTTTAAATATTGCAAGTTTCTTATATTTCACTCATACTATAGCAATATGCTAAATAAAAATAACTTTCAATTTTCTCCTTTTGCAAAAAGACTTGAACATTGTAAACTTCGGAAAGATGATAAATCTTAACCTTCTAAAGACATTTCAGGATATTTTGGGAATATATTTTATCTCATTTTGTGAAAGTCACGAAAAAGTTTTATCCGGAAAACATTTAAAGGAAGTATAATTCAGCTTAAAGCTTGATTATTTAACGCATGAAATCGAATTTTGACTCTACCCCCGGTTTTAATATACTCACAAAACATAAATGTAAAAGAATAATTAATAGAAGTATTCATTTTAAATGAATGCTTTCAGTTATCTGTTATTATGAATCATAACTGGACGTTTATATCTCTCTCAGTTCCACCTCGCGAAACAATCATTATGGATAAGTTTGGCCAGCATCTCCACGGATTGATTGGTCCTTACAATGAAGGATATCCGTTACTTCTTATATGCGAAGCAGATGGAGGTAAGTTTTGAACTTGTTAATCTAAGTTCATCTAAGATTATGTGATATCGAATGGATTATAATCTATTTAATAATATATAAATTCCATCTACTGTAAGATAGCCTACAAAAATATGACATTCTTGTGAGTTTCAATATTGATTATGTAACTTTCCAACTTAATCAGGACCATCCTCTTAAAATTATTTGCTGATACTATTATTTTACTGCACATGCTATATTTTTTGTAAACAATTATTTTTAACTTCGAAGAAGCTGTTGTAATTACACTTATAAAGCCAAATTTAAAGTTAAAAAGATACTCATTTAATTTTAAAAGCATTATACTATAGATGTTTCCTGGTAGGTAATGTATAGATTTTAAAGCTAAACAAAATTAATTATTATAAGTTTAATAATATATATATATATATATATGTCGTAAATATTAGACCTACAAACCGGATAATTTTAACTTAATTACAGCCATTATTTAGGTCTCACGTAATGTAACACATTTATACACATTACTTGCACCTCCAAACTTCCTGTTTAATGGCTATTTACCTCACAACAAATTTCAAGCTTTAGTGAAGTACGAGTTGCATTCACATCGCCAAACAAAGGAATAATGGATGATGCATCATACACAAAGAAGCTAAAGCTAGATAAAGAACGTGGAGTATAAATATATAAACAGCAAGAGTACTGTAATTCCTCCTTTTCACTAAACGTTTATAATGAGAATGTTTAACAAATTTACCAAGAGTAAAACAATCTTAACAAAGTTAATTTATGCCAGGGAATATATAAAGCTTTGAAGACTTTGTTTTAACTTGTTTTATTCTGTTAACTGATAGGTAGGCTTTTGTTATCGTGTATTAAATGATATACTGACTTTCCTTGCACAGGAAGACCGCCTCCAGCGTTGACATGGAAGAAAGAAGGAAAGGTTTTAAAGGATAATTTTACTCTCACGCCCCAAGGTTTCTCCCGAAACGAAATTGTGCTTCCCGAACTCCGTCGTCAAGATTTATTCTCTTCTCTCGTATGTGAAGCTTCAAACAGTGACATTGGAGCTCCATTATTCAGTTCAGTCACGTTAGATTTAAACTGTAAGTATTAGAAAATTATATCTAAAACGTTGTGATTGTTGTTTGACTTTTAACTTCAATAATATATGACATTTAATATATATATATAGAATTTCTCAGTTTTCATAGAATAATTGTGACAACAATTTTTTTCTCATTGTGAATTCAAAAGTTTTTAAATGATTAGTAAAAACTATGTTAGTGCAAAATTATCGGTTGGTTGTAAACTACATTAATGTAGCTTTATGTAGTTTTCAACAAGATTTCTGATTTCGTAATTAAAAATCATCACTAAAGAGAGAGATTCTGATACTGGTGATATTTTGTCTTAAATAATCTTTCCAATATTGCATTTTGAATGACTTCAATGACACTACTCCTACAGCGTAAACTATATTTCAAATAATTAACTTAATTGTACTTCTATCTAACCTGTCTTTTCTAATTGTAGTCTTCAGCGATTTGTTTTATACTATGAAGTTTATAAATTTAACTTAACTTACTGAATCAAGAAGTTGAGACCGACAGTTTATTTTTAAGATTTGCAATAATGACTAGTGTTGTTATATACGCCTGTAGACTTTAATTTTTTTTTCTTAATTTGAGAATGATGTTCAATAGAAGGAGTTTTATGGAAATCTCAACCAAAGTAGCTTCAGCTCAAACTTTGCACAAATAGACTCATTTAGTAACATTATTCATCAGTATCCATTTCATTGCAATCCCACTAACTGAGCAGTAAAATCTGTTACTAACACAACCCTAAGGCTGTTGTAATATTTAAGATATTATCAATATGTTTTCATAACAATATGAATATATAAAGATAGATAGATATATTGTTGTAGTGTGAATGCCTTTCTTTTTAGCCCCCTCCCCCCAGTGGCCCAGCATTATTTCTGTGGACTTACAACACTAGAAACCAGGTTTCGATACCCGTGGTGCGCAGAGTACAGATAGCCCATTGTGCAGCTTTGTGCTTAATTACAAACAAACAACCCTTTTTTTAAGCTGGCGAAGCACAACTATAATTAACTATACTTCCCATAAGACATAAGCATTAGGCCTAATATAAATGTATTATGACAAGTATAATTATATATCAAACAAATGTTTCAATTTTCTTTTATTGGAGTTCTGACCAATATCGATAAACAAAATTAATTTGCAAGAAAGTTATTGAATTTCTTTTTGGATCCTTAGTTAATAATTCCCACTTTCAAATCAAGCCATTAAGCGTAACAAAATGATTTTAACTGATGATTTATTGTGAGCTTCATAATCAAATGATAAAAATTAGAACAAATAGTTTACAACTATCTAAATAATTCACGTTCCATGTAATGAATTATATCACAAAAAATCTTTTAAAGTACGAAGTCGGTACTTACACTTCACATGGTAAATTGAATAAGTGGTTTCATTCAGAGTTGCCCCCCAGTGGCACAGCGGTATGTCTGCGGACTTACAACGCTAGAAACAAGGTTTCGATACCTGTGGTGGGCAGAGCACAAATAGCCCATTGTCTAGCTTTGTGCATAAATACAAACAAACAAACAAACAATCATTCATAATTAGTTGGTATGTATTCAAATCCATGTAAGGAATTTAATTTCCATCATTATTTTCATGTTTGTTAAAGCGAAAAGATGAACAATGGACTATCTTTGATGGACTCACTGCAAGGATCTAGACTCGAATTTCATAAGTATAAGTCCTCCTACTTACAGCCGAGAGACTAAAATTTTACTGTAACATGGTGTTTTTTTCTTTAAAACCACCAATGAATAAATGTGGGTGTACAAATGGAAGCCACACTTTGACGGTTATGTTGACACATGACAATGAAAAATGAATATTTCTTTTTCTATGTATACAATTTGTCTGACAAAGAATTAAATGTTGGGTAAATATGAAAATTGTTTGAAATCCACGTAGATTCATTGTTAATACAAATGAAAATAATATTATTTTACAATTTAAAAAACAAAAGCGAAATTTGTAAAGATAATTTTTCAAAGATCCAATAAATGCCGTGAGTAAAACCAACCGCACTAACAATTTTATGAATACCAGATTTACAGAAGACATAAAACACAATTAAAAATTTAGTTTTGATATCTTAAATAGCGTTAACCTAGTTTTTACCTAATATCAAGCCTAACCAATTTAAATAAAGTCGTATAAAATATACCAATATCAGCAATAAATACTGTGGTCATCAAGTGGATGTCGGATTGGCCATGTGGTACATCTTAGAATTTCTGGGCTAGCACCCAGTGGTTTATAAATATCATAACACTTTAACCTTAGAGTCTACGAACACTTGGAACAAGAAAAATGGGAAAAAATATATGTCGAATACAACAAACATTTTCAAGCTAGGCGGAAAAACATGCATTTGATTTTAAAACATATTTACCCACTGTGTGTCCTTCATCATAAGATAATATGCGAAAACGTCCACCTGTCAAATTGAAAGGAAGTGTTAAACTGAGTAGTAGGTGAAAATGTTCAACATTTATGTAACAGCAAAATCTTTTATTTTTTGTATTAGAATTCAAAGTTCTGTTCTATTAATACAGTATCAATTACAAAAATAAATGTTGATCAGCATTACATCCTCCTCATCTTCTGTGGAATCCCAGATATTTTTTCTATGGCTTTTTTCATAGGTCTATTGCGAGTAATTATAACCTATTTTAGTTTTATTTTACACAGTCAGACGCTGTAATTAAGTTGAATTCTGACGTTTTTCTTATTTGTTAAGATCTAATCTTCCTCGTAATTTTGTTTAGAACTTACGCGCTGAGCCATACAAAAGCTTTCAACATAGAGATGTCTCTAATTTGTAACTGACAGAGAGGAGGTAGATAGTCAACAGTTTCTACTCCAACTCTTTGGCTATTATTATATCATATGATAGTGGAATTTCATCGTCTCTGTAATAGTCCACCATCAGCCCCAAAGTACGGAATGTGTTTTTGTAGCAAAGGATCGCGAACCACGAACCCTCACTTTCATGTCCCGAGCACTTTAACCACTAAACAACACATTGCACCCTTATTCTTTCAAAATTATCTATTTTCACAGTAAAATCATAATTTTATCAGCATAATAAGTAGTGTTATATTTTTTAGTCTTAATCATTGAACAGATGAAGAAAACGCGAGTTAAATTATAATAAGGATATATCTAAATTAAACGTAGCACACCATACTTTCTTCTAAAGCTTTAAGCTGTGGTTTCTTAAATATGTTTGGTGCAATTTATAATCTTATGAACACTCTTCAGTCAAATAGGTCCCTTGATGGTTAACGTTTAGGGCTTATAACGCTAAACCTCAGGAACTGAGCTTTGTGTAAACACATTATATATATATAGTCCGTCCTACATCTTTGCGCTAAAACAAACAAAAAGTAAGTCTTATAAATAATGCTTATTTCTTTGAGGAATATACAATTGTTTATTTTCTTCCTATCCTGAAAAGGACACAGACTATTATATATTACACACGATTTCAAAGCATCCAATGTATTTTGTCTGGTGATATAAATTATTTTCAAGAGTCTAGTTCCTTTTTTCACAGGTATTGCATTTCATATGAAAGCATGTTTAGGTAGTTAAGGAATGCATACATTGGAAACTTCTAGTATCAGGATGAGCAATAAAATATTATGTTCTATGATTTTGGTAAAAGTGTTTCTTTACACTTTTAGTGAGGTATTATTTTAAAGTTTTCAGGTGAATGGTTGTATCTCCTAGTTTTAGTTTGCTTCAAAATATAGAATTTTAAATATTTTTCCACATTCCTCAAACAGCATTTGTATGAAAAATAAAGTCACACATTTTTTTTGGGCATGACTATAAACTGACGTTTGTTTCAAAAGTAATGATCTCAACTGTCATAAAAATAATATTTCGTAACACACTGGTATCACCAGAATTTAGGATTATTAGCTATATCTGAAAATTAAATATTTTCTTTAAACTTTGAAAAAAAAAAAGTTCAATACATTTCATAAAATAACTTTTATGTAATATTTCAGGTGACAAAATGCTCCTTCGGCGATTCTTTGTGTAATTTGTAAATACTATATTAAAATTGTGATGTTAGATGATTGTCCTCGAGAGTTACTATCTTTAAAACATTTTAATCGTAAAATATGTATATATTTCTGTTAAAAAGCAAGCATTAATTAAAGATACATTTCTTTCAACATATGTTTATTGCTTAACAGAACATAAGCTAAGCCTCATTTTCTCTCCCACTTTATAAATACATTTGAGTATCAACTATTAAATTAGGCTATTATTTAGTTGTGTATTTAGTTGGAATAAGTAACTACTCAACTTTTATTGAATTTTAGCATCTCGAGTGTAATAACAATGATTTATTTTTTAATTTTCTATGTATATATGGAAATTACTCAGTTTGTAAAACTATCATATTTATTTATGGAATCTTTACGGTTAATTTAAAATCATCTTAACCTGAAAATGTTTGATTATAAGAGGTAAGTTTAAAAGTATCATCATATATTTTGGTTTGGTTATTGTTAAGAACAAAGGTACACAACTGACTACCTGTGCTTCGCTCATCACGGATATAGAAACCTAATTTTTGGCATCGTAAGCCTGAAGACTTACCGCTGAGCCACGGGTGAGGGTCATCATATTTGATTTACCTGTCAGCACGAATAGGATGACATAACATAGATTCCTATGCTTGGATGTTTTAGTATCGTCTTGTTGTTATTTCTGTACCTACTACAGGACTTTTTATATAGTAGTAGCAGATGCCCGTTGAAACAGTTCAAAGTAATATTCCTAAAAATAGTAAAGAATAAATGCAAAATGTGCAGTCAACCCATTCCCTTTGGTCATAGCTCATAGACAATATGATTGTCTTGTCGACAGTTTACAATCATCTTTTGACATTCCATTGCTATTTCAATAAAGAAATTTGCATTTCGTTTGCTTTTAAGAAATGAATACTGACTGTAATGCATTGATAACAA